GATGCAGTAAACTTCAGTGTATTCATGACCAGATCGTTTTACACAGGCATCTAAATACATTTTGCCAGGGCTTAGGTCAAACTTTTCCATATCGGACAGTTTGTACCTATATCTAAATATCTACAACGGGTACCCGGGTAGGGTCGGGTAATAGGGTGGTGGGTACCCGGGTAGTATATTTGGACTCCCAGCCCTAATTTGTTTAAAGTTGGTATTTTTCAAAGTTCTTATTTTCTTAAGAGAGGTACATATTTTAACATTGTATTTTGAGATTGTAAGGAATGCAATGAATATAAAACAAAGGATTAAACATCTTCTATATTGTCCTATTATAAGTGAAACACAAGTTATGTCAACAAACCATAAATAAGTGATTAGTTAGAATGTCTTAATTCCAAGTCGGGACAAATATCAGCCTCTCAGCAGGGCTAGATAATTTATCAATACATCAATATCACAATATACACTATCCTTTGGAATGAATCTTTAATATCAATGTTAAGGCAAGAAGCTGTCGGGGCAAGGGAGCCTTAAGTGGTTAAAGCATTTGAATCCTTTGACACTATATATGTATTAAATGGGTCGGTTCACTTGGGCATTGTTGGCATATGGGTCAGGTCATAAAAAATAATTGGGGTGGGTCATAAAAAAGGACATTGGACATTTTATAATAATACAAAATACTTTTGTATTTTTCTTTTCAGGGAGGGTCAGGAAAAACTGAAGAAGGAAAAAGGGAGGGTCATCCAAAAATATGACAGGCATTGAGAAAGGGTAATTATTTTCAATACATTAGAGCATCACAAACCTATTCAAGTAAGCAGAGAGCCAAGTGGTTAAAGCGTTCACTCAACACACTGCAGGTCGTGGTTCAATTCCCCATGTGGGTACAATAATGTGAAATTTCTGGCTTCCCCCCATGTGACTTTGCTGGTGTATTGTCAGAAGCAGGGTACAACACTGCACACTCACTCACTCACTCACTCACTCACTCACTCACTCACTCACTCACTCAAGGTAAGCAAGATGTTTAAAAACATCATGATTTGGAACAAGAAAGTTTATTATCCTTAGACTTCGAAAAAACAGAGTTAACAAGTATTTGTCACAGAGTGACGAAATATCCCCCGCCATATACACCATAGTACCAAATATGAAGACAATCCAGCGATTAGTTCTTGAGATATTGTGGCAACACCGTTTTCCAACTCCAAAAACAGATTTGCCTGCTGTGACCTTGAAAATGGGGTCAAGGTCACCAAATCTGACAGGTGTATGCGGTGTCTGTATATACACTATAGTTCCAAATATGAAGACAATCCAGCGATTAGTTCTTGAGATATCGCGGCAACACCGTTTTCTAACTCCAAAAGCAGATTTGCCTGCTGTGACCTTGAAAATGGGGTCAAGGTCACCAAAACCGACTGGTGTCTGCGGTGTCTGTATATACACCATAGTTCCAAATATGAAGACAATCCAGTGTTTAGTTCTTGAGATATCGCGGCAACACCGTTTTCCAACTCTAAAAGCAGATTTGTCTGCTGTGACCTTGAAAATGGGATCAAGGTCACCAAAACCGACTGGTGTCTGCGGAGTCTGTATATACACCATAGTTCCAAATATGAAGACAATCCAGTGTTTAGTTCTTGAGATATCGCGGCAACACCGTTTTCCAACTCTAAAAGCAGATTTGTCTGCTGTGACCTTGAAAATGGGATCAAGGTCACCAAAACCGACTGGTGTCTGCGGAGTCTGTATATACACCATAGTTCCAAATATGAAGACAATCCAGTGTTTAGTTCTTGAGATATCGCGGCAACACCGTTTTCCAACTCCAAAAGCAGATTTGCCTGCTGTGACCTTGAAAATGGGGTCAAGGTCACCAAAACCGACTGGTGTCTGCGGTGTCTGTATATACACCATAGTTCCAAATATGAAGACAATCCAGTGTTTAGTTCTTGAGATATCGCGGCAACACCGTTTTCCAACTCTAAAAGCAGATTTGTCTGCTGTGACCTTGAAAATGGGATCAAGGTCACCAAAACCGACTGGTGTCTGCGGAGTCTGTATATACACCATAGTTCCAAATATGAAGACAATCCAGTGTTTAGTTCTTGAGATATCGCGGCAACACCGTTTTCCAACTCTAAAAGCAGATTTGTCTGCTGTGACCTTGAAAATGGGATCAAGGTCACCAAAACCGACTGGTGTCTGCGGAGTCTGTATATACACCATAGTTCCAAATATGAAGACAATCCAGTGTTTAGTTCTTGAGATATCGCGGCAACAAACAGGTGTGACGTACGGACGGACGTACGGACGGTCGTGAATACTATATCCCCCGCTTCGCGCTTTCGCGAGGCGGGGGATAATAAAAATCATATGTGCACAAGTGCAAATGTTGCAAGCTCCGACGTTCATACAGCTTGGCCCTCACTCTATGAAGGTTCATACTCCAATGAATTCACACAAAGTGAAGGTCAATTCTTAAATACATTGTGAAAAACAAATACTGGCCGTAAGTACCCTTTATTCACAGTCCAAGAGACAGCTTCCATCAATTGCTGGAAGTGACCACGATTTGGGGTTATTCTTAATAGTCTGAACCTCATCAAGTGAGCGAGTGAGTATGGTTTTACGCCGCTTTTAGCAATATTCCAGCAATATCACGGTTGGGGACACCACAAATGGGCTTCACACATTGTACCCATGTCGGGAATCGAACCCAGGTTTTCGGCGTGACGACGAATGCTTTAACCACTAGGCTACCCGACCGCCCTGAACCTCTTCAAAGACAAAGAGACATTGTTTGTCAGGGTTCGAAATTATTAGTGCCATCGTGCCGAGGGCACGCCTAACACTGTTGCACAATGGCACGGTGAATTCCTTGCCTGCGTGCCCCTATGGCACACTTAGTTTAGCAAGGAACGTGACTGACGAGTATTTCTGTTGATAATTATGACTCGTATGCTAAAATATATCTTTTCATAATTAATGGCAAAGCAAATTGAATTTCCTTTTTGGAAAACGATGATCAGCATGATTTAACTCTTTCAACACCGAGTCCCTTGACATCGCAGGCCCAAGCTGAAGTCACTTCAAAATAGTATATAATTTTTTTATCATTCATTTATTAAATCTGTCACCTTTCACAATGTCTGATATATATATTCTATTTCAATTTCTATTTTTTTAGCAATAGACTAAAAGATTATTCACCAAATGATAGATCTATTTCCCGCAATGTTATTAAAAATAAAATTCTCGGACACACACTTTGACAATGGGTCCACATCGAACAAGTCAAAGAGCAAAATAAAGATGTGTCAATCAAACTTTAAATATATTATACAAAGTAATAAATCAAATCCACAAAAATATATCTAAAAGTTGTCAAACTACCGGGGTAAGCTATTTCCATCTATCGTGCGATCACATGTAATGTTAGTTAAATGACATCTCAGCTTTCATCACCTCGATTTCTTGGCTTGGACACGATGTTCATTGCCAAAATATATACATTAAAAATCTTTGTCACAGCTTGTACCCTAGCATGATACATCCCGAAATTTCATATTTTGAATATAGATCGCGATTTCCTGCTTAAAACGTTCATAATAACACAATTTAACAAAACACTTTCATCACAATCTGAAACTTATCAATCACAAGGATGGTACCATTGCTGTTATTCGATTGGCTGCTTTAGGTCACATGCTCAAATCTGACCAATTACGAACTTTGTAGCAGTGTTCGGGAAGAAAGCGTCATTAGAAACCAATTTTTATGCAATAAAATCTCATGCTACAGCTAAGTAAAGACTCTAGGCAAGTTAACTATCAGGAAGATGACAAAATAAGCTTTGCAGATAATGATGTGTCAAATTGCAGTCTTTAACGCTTCGTGTTATTCAGCGGAGGTTATCAGGGAAAAAGATGATGACAGATATTACTTATAATTCTTTTTAAAATAATTTTCCGATTACGTGAACAATAAAAATAAAAAATAAATAGGAAAGTGGATATTATTCAATCTTATATTTGCCGAAAATCGTCAAATTTTCGCTTCCTTGGTCCTTAATCTGGACGTTATGAATGTGTTAGCTTAGATTTATTTACAACACACTAATATAGTTGTAAATGCATTATTTAAATAATGTGATAAACATAACTTTCATATGTATAAACGGTAAGATTAGACCTTTCAAATGGTGTATAACATGTAGTAGCAAAGATGCCAACAATAAAACAACTAGCCCCAATAGATTTTTATTTGTCTCAGACTAACAGACTAGTGCCTATGTCTATCCCTGAACAGTGGTAATATTGAAAGAATTCCCCTAAAAAAAACTGAATTCCCAACCTACCCTCAGGATACCCCCATCATTTAGCATTCAAAAACAACTAGCCCCAATAGATTTTTACTTGTCTCAGACTAACGGACAAGAGCATGTGTCTTATAATCCCTGAATAATGTAATATTGAAAAGATGCCCCTAAAAAAAGCTGCCAGATTTCCCAACTAACCGTCAGGATACCCTTATCATTTAGCATTCAAAAACATCTAGCCCCAATAGATTTTTACTTGTCTCAGACTAACGGACAAGAGCATGTGTCTTATAATCCCTGAATAATGTAATATTGAAAAGATGCCCCTAAAAAAAGCTGCCAGATTTCCCAACTAACCGTCAGGATACCCTTATCATTTAGCATTCAAAAACAACTAGCCCCAATAGATTTTTACTTGTCTCAGACTAACGGACAAGAGCATGTGTCTTATAATCCCTGAATAATGTAATATTGAAAAGATGCCCCTAAAAAAAGCTGCCAGATTTCCCAACTAACCCTCACAATACCCTTATCACTAGACTGACTGGGGCTAGCAGACAAGGGCCAATTTAATAAGCACAACCCTGGCAGTCATAAAACACATAACAGACATGTTGTTATACAGTTGTAAATAATAGAACTGGACAGCACAAAGAGAACACGCATCATCTACCTGTCCTGATGATATCACAGATCCAGGAAGGAAGCCAATCACTGGGTGTAGCCAGCTGCACAGCTAAACACACACAAGGGTACTTACACCCATGCCCACACTGACATGGCCGCGGTTGTCGCGTGTAACCTGTCACTTCTCTCTAAACACTACATCCAAACAAGAAGGCTGACGTGTCGCGGTATGGCTGGCACACAGATCTATAAGGATGTCTCAATAATAGATGAGGACCATCTTAGCCTGGGACAGACTGTAGACATGGTAGAAGAGGCTCTTGACATATTCTTCATCCTCTCGGGGAGCAGTTCAGCACTACATCGGTCCAATCACTCAAGCGTGACCGACCATAGCAACATGGTACTGTTATGCTATTGTGTAGGTCACCAAGCACTGAAGTTCTTATTAAACACATTGTTTTAATCAATAATTAAATTAGCAGGAAGGGTTGGGGGTATTTCTAGTCAAATGTGATTTTGGAAGTAAATTGGACTAACACAAGAAAAAGTGTGAATATGTTGCAGTATAATTCACAATAAAACCTGCGTTCTCAGAAATTGGAAAGTGTCTGAATCTCAATAAAAACCAAGGGATCATCTTTCTAAATTATAACTGTTTCACCCTGAACTAGATAATATCTAGTTCACAGTGAAATGACCTTGAATGAGTTTGAAGATCATTCCCTACTGATAGCATAAAGAAAATGTCAGGCTGTGATGCTGCCACAGCCTGGTTTTGGGTAGGCATTGCCCTGCGTCATCTTCATGATATGCAAAAACAGGGATCCTTTGTTTTCGCGCCATCAAAAGTACAACTCAGCTGAAAAGACCCTCCAATTTGGAACATACATTTTCACTTTTAAAGTGTTACTCTACTCCTTAATGTCTGTTGCCGATTTACAGTTCAACAATTTAGTAAGTGTCAGCCTGGTTAACGGTAGACATGAACTTTGAAATCAGAATAATTATTATCCCAAAGATTTATACACATCATAAAATTTGAGTAAGCAGACAAACTCAGTGATGTTTGAACAACTTGAACAAACATATAAATGGCCAAGCCTTGTCCTCTTAAAGATGAATGACAAAGTCTTTGGGGTTTATTGTTTATAGATATGATCACTGAATAAAATAAAATCAGTTTAAATTTATTTTCATTTCCCCAGTTATTCTGTCTATAATGGTTTAAAAAATTATTTTTTTTAAAATATCATACAAAATTAAAGTAACAAATACCTGTTTCAATAATTATTTTTTGTGTATAGGTCTGCACTCAGCAATACTCCAGCAATGTGACACGAAGGGGGGTCAGAGGTCCCACCTTAAACTGGACACCTCCAAACTATCACGCAATAATTGATCAAATATATAGTAAATAGCCCACAGCAAAACTGGCATGAGAGATCGAGACGATGAAGAGGGGTTTAATGTCACGTTCAAGTTTATTGCACGTACATAGTGACATGCATGCATGTATTGCGTGTGCATGTCTGCTTGTATTAGAACGAGGACATCTCACAACTTCTGCAAACATAGTAAAATACCACAATAAATATCCAGTACTGCAGTGTCAGTATGTATTTTCCCAAACAATTTCATGCCATATTTACTAAGCTCCATATATATATTTAGAATAACGAAATCTAATTGGTTTGAAAAAATCACTAAACAATCAATAAAGTGAGTGAGAGTGAGTGAGTGAGTGAGTGAGTGAGTGAGTGGGTGGGTGGGTGGGTGGGTGAGTGAGTGAGGGGGTGGGTTTGCAGGTGGGCGGGTGGGTTGGTGAGAGAGTGCTGTTGTTCAGTTATCTCACGGGTATGGTGCTGAAAAACCTCGGAACTTTATCAAGGTCAACCAGGACTCACCTTTAAAAAATCTTTTGGTAATAATTCCCAAGTAAGAATTTTTTGCAAAGATGACATTCATTTCACTGATAGCAAGATCAATAAAGTAACATTATGTCCACTATAATGTCCGCCACTGGTGCTTAGTTCTAAATCCCGGAGACATTCCGAGCTGGTGAGGTATGCTCATAGTAAATGACACAGTCTTAATCAATTATACATAGGACTTGCGTATCAGATTCATATTGGCATTGCTTGCAACATTCTTACTGGAGACGGGGCGGTCGGGTAGTCAAGTGGTTAAAACATTCGCCGAAAACCTGGTTCGAATCCTGACATGGGTACAATGTGTGAAGCCCATTTCTGGTGTCCCCCGCCGTGATATTGCTGGAATATTGTTGAAAGCGGGGTAAAACTATAATCACTCACCCACTCTTACCGGAGGCTTGGGTATTAACAAGCCAGGCCATGTATCTCAGCCATGTTGGGGGCTTTCAGTCAGTGTGAAGTATTGTGAGATTGGGGGGTAGGATTTCTTTTGGGAAAACATTTATTGTCTCCATGTTTGACTCAAAGCAGGCAACTGTCCAAGACTGGATGTTTTATGTCTCCCAAAATGGTTTGGCCTCCCCTTGCAGAGAAAACAATGTTTTTTAACGCTGACTAAAGTATAAATCAAATAAAACTCTCAGCCCTCTCCCAAATATCAAGAGACTCTGTAAACGTTTTTTCTCTCACATATTCATGTCTTGGACAGATAGAACTTGAGAATGGATGTATATACAGTGTGTCAGTCATGGGATGGACAGAGGTATTTGTTGTTGGAGAGTGAGTGAGTGAGTGAGTATGGTTTTACACCCCTTTTAGCAATATTCCAGCAATATCACGACAGGTGATGCCAGAAATGGACATCACATTTGTTGTTGGGTTGTTGGAATCACTGCAAGCAGTGTGGAACGCCCATGTGTCTTTGGATTCTATACTCACCGCCAAAAGAAACGAAAATACCATACATGTTGGTTAATACATGAAGAATTACTCATATTCAAGAGATATTAGATTGGTTCGACGCACAAATGAACATAATGGCATAAATGAACGCTCATGAACACATCACATGTGATGTCATAGATCCAGGACTCAAGATGCACCATTTGTCTCGTGCAGGATTAGCATGGAAAGTTTGGAAATCACGTGCAGCATAGTGATAAGAATAATTGAGTGAGTGAGTATGGTTTTACGCTGTTTTTAGAAATATTCCAGCAATATCACTGCGGGGGACACCAGAAATGGGCTTCACACATTATACCCATGTCGGGAATCGAACTGGGTCTTCGGCGTGATGAGCGAACGCTTTAACCACTGTGCTAAAGGCTTGCTAACACTTGGCTGATTGTAAGTTTTATCATTAAGTAGCACACATTTGGAAAAATCTCTTTTTAACGTACTTCTCGATACTTTTCTTTTGTTCACGTTTCCCTTGGCAGAGACTATATTTTACATCCAAAATCATTCTCCAACTTTCTTTTCGTAAGCAGTTATAACCAGTGTTTTAAACGTAACAGTACACCTAAACAGCTTCGTTGGCAGAGAGATTAGTGATGTCACAGTAACCGATGACTTTACAATGGCCTGCAAAGCATTGTGATGTAATTTCATTGTTGAGATATCTCCTAGGAGATATGCTTGATCTCACCTAAGGTTATCTCCTGTGGAAGCCTGTTTGGGATGATAAATTAAATTTAACTGACACTTATATTCTGATAAGAACTGCAGTCAAAGGTCAGACATTCAGGTTCAGTCACTGTCAAGTTTCACTGTAAACAACTTTATAACAAATACAAGGCTTCACAAATACCGTATTCGACATAATAAGCGCCCAGGAGACCCTCAAAATTAGAAATGGGGGCTCTTATTATTATTTTGGAGAAAAAAAACAGTTGAAACATAAATTTCGTGGTTTATAATGTTTGTGTACGACAGATATATTTTTCCAGAATTTATTTGCCCATAATGAAGGGTGCATATAACACATGAGTGCGTATTATATGCGAATAAATCTTTTGTACATTGATCAATCGGAAGGTGTGCTAATTGGGATTGTTCACTAGCCAATATATTAGCAAATATCGCTGTGGCGCGTATTAGAGCAGGGCGCTTATTACATCGAATACGGGTTCCAATATGACTGAAATAACTGTGTTAATTACTGCAGTAGTAAAAGAGAAATAAATCTTGTGTACATTGTTCACTAGCCAATGCATTAGCACTTATTAGAGCGGGGCGCTTATTACATCGAATACGGTACCTGATGTGAGTGAGTGAGAGAGAGAGTTATAATTTAAAGTCAATATATATAAAAACATTAAACTATAAAAGCCTGCAAAAAACGGAGAGTAAACAAAGTAAACTTATCACATACTGCTACTTAAAACTTGCATGGAACCATGAAAATTCATCGCAATATAACAATACATTATAAAATTCTGGGCTACAGATTGCCAGCAACTGAAGGCAGGTCACTAAACAAGGGACCATGGGGACTTACAGTACTTTTGTTAATAACCTGGGATTTTGTTACCTTGAAGCCACAGAGCCCTAAACTGAAGGGAGTCCGGGTTACAAGAGTGAGTGAGTGAGTTTGGTTTTACGCCGCTTTTAGCAATATTCCAGCAATATCACGGCGGGGGACACCAGAAATGGGCTTCACACATTGTACCCATGTCGGGAATCGAACCCGGGTCTTCGGCGTGACGAGCGAACGCTTTAACCATTAGGCTACCCGACCGCCCCCCGGGTTACAAGAGGCAACTAAAGGGATCAGGTGGTCAGGTTTGGTGACTGGTGACATAAATATTTTCATCCATTGTGCCACACTTGACACTGCTAACTGTAAATCGTTAGTTTGCCAGGTATTTGGCCATCCTGTCATGGCTTACGCACCACAGAAAAGAGCACATACAGTTATCGTGATACGTATCGTATCGTGAGTAAGGTATTGTGATACGTATCGGATCGCACAGTTGGTGTATCGTCCCAGCTCTAGTTGACGGGCGTTTAATCGTACTCTAACAGCATGGAGCAGTGCTTTAACTCAGTAATTCAAAGGGCTATGTGATAAAGCTGGAATATTGCCGTCTATGACATAAAACATACAAAAACAAATCTCTATCCTTATGAAAAACACAATAAAGAAAAAAGTTTTAAAAAATATTTTATTATTCCCAATGACACAAACATTTCCCACGCAACAGGTCTCGAACCTTGTACTTTATCAGAGTGTTTCTTTACATGGCA